GTTCTAGAAGGCTGGCTTGCAAATTACGGCTTGGTTCCTCGTCTGGTGACGCCTCTTTGGCCCCCAAACGGCCCGGATTACTTCATTGCTTCGTCGGCCCCAGCTTTGGCCGCTTGTCAAGATGGTCTGAAAGCCTAAATAGCACGGTTTAGAGCGCACGAGGCGTTTTCGGTCTTCTACTTTCTCATTTCGACTGCTTGGCCCACCCCCTAGTGGGGGAGAAGATGTCTGTTCAGTTGCTATGGCTCTCTATCGATCCAGCTTGCACTCCCTATGGGAGTATGTCCGACGCAGACACTCCCCTCATGACTTTGAAGGGAAGTTGTCGACACAAAAGCTGTTGACTCAGAGCTGTGTTTCGCCAAAAGATGCCCAAGCACTGCTGTTCTGCTTGTGCTTTGAGCGCATTTCTGTCGGCCCGAGAACTGCCTTTGTCTCTCATAACTTGAAGTTGTGTGCAGCAGGAATCGAGAAGTGAACTGACATGGAGCACGGAGACTTTTCGGCTTTCTTAGAAGAAACACTCGAAGCATGCACTCCTCGGAGGTCGCCAGACCCTCTGCGACCTCGGCACGAATATCCGGTTTATGCAAGTTGAAATTTCTGTTCTGGAGATTCCTCGTTTGCCTTGTTTGTTAAACGCAACTTATGACATGTGTTCACTTACCAGATTTCACTCTGCACTTTCCCCCATTTTCTCGACTTACCCACGCTCCAGTTCGATTCCGAGCCGCTGGGACGGGACGGCGATTCTTTCTCTTTTCGTACGGGGAGTTTGCTATGTATCCCTTGCTTCCTTGTCCTCTTTTCCACTCTTGGGAATTTTCCCCATTTCTCTCCTTTTTATTCGCCGATGACGGTCTTTACTTCTCCTGGTATTGGTGAGTGTCCGCTCAAAGGCAATTCGCGAACTAGTCCAGCGGTAATTCCTTTCGGGAATTCTTGCCTCGTTGGAAGGAGAAGAAAGAAGTGACAAGAATTGGTGGCCCCTTTTTCGGCGTCGGCTTTTGTGTTCTGCTGTCAACGAATCTGGCGGCGTTTTTGTTTGCTTGTACGAGTATGTCTCCATCACATCCGCTACGGATGCATCTTGTTTACAAAGTTCTTCACGCCATGATACATGCTCCTTTCCTTTTCCGTTCTTCTGAGCTGTCAGACTTGGGATCTTGGGCATCAATCAACGGAGCGGCCGAATAGCCGTCAACAAGGGGAGGGGCTAGGTCTTACCAGTATGTCTTGTCTTGGGGCTTCGTTTTATTCCCATGGACATTGCCGGATATAGAGCTGGTGATGAGTATGGCCTGGTGGACTACTTACCTACCTAGGTACATTCTTGTCAGGGAGGCATCGACCAGGCGGGAAACTCATTGCGAGTTTGTGTATTTGTGGTTCTATCGCCGGAGAGAGAGTCTTCATGGCCCCCTTCTTTCTATGCTTTTCCAGTTGCAGTTGGTCTCTGGCGAATGCCTCTCCAGTTCTAATTTGCCTGCCTGGCACGGCCCATTCCCAATGGTCTATAGTACTTAACTTCTTACATGCATCATGATCATGTACGCCCTGCCTGCATGTGCCTTCGCTGCAGAGCCCTTCTCCACCACACATTCCCCTCATCCTTTCCCCCGTTAAACAAACATTGATAATGGTATTACAAAATATCATAAAAATAGCCGGGACATGTGAAAAAAAAGAGCATACTACTTACACGCGGATCGGGGAGGAAAAGGGAATATCCCGGCTCGTTTTTACGAGGTGTTGAGATTTGTCTCATGAGCTTTTCCTCATGATCGTGGGGTCCGTTTTCCAATGTTCCAGCCCCAGCCCCGGAGGACCTTGACCACCTTGGGGGTGACGGCCGCGGTCAGGGGCACCCTGACGAAGATGAAGCTCTTGTGGATGGCGTACGCGAGGGCTAGCTGGGTTGCCAGGCCTGTTAAAGAAGAGAAGGGAAGAGTGATTAGCCTTTCTGTATTTCTCCAGATCACATATCACATCATACTAGTATGTCCCGTTGTTTCGCAGGCTACACTTTTCTCGAAAAGAGCAAGGCCACGCCATGACGTGGAGACTTTGCGAGAAAAACACAAAATTTCTTCTCTTCCCAACCAGCGTCGTGCCATTTGGCGGTAGTAGGGTCATTCTTTTTTTCGGTGTGCAAAATGAAGGGGGCGGGGAGGAGGTTTGTTGGGGAGGCGGTTCAAACTTACTGGCTTCCTCCTTGTTGCGCTCCTGGGCCTTTTCGACCCCCCAGCCGACCATTTCGACCTTGTCGCTGATGTCGTTGTTGCCCAGGCGCTGCTCCTCCTCTTTCTTAAGGGACTGTCGCCATTCGTTCCATCGCGTGCGGACGGATTCGGGGATGACCTTTGCGACTGCCGATACGACGAAGTGCTCGACTTGGCCTGTTTGTTTTCCGCCCCATCCTCGTATTAGCATTGCGAACAACGAGAGATAGCAGCTCAAGCTGAAGAAGTGACAGTAAGGGGAAACTTTCGTACCTATCCTCTCCGTCCCGACGATCCTCACCAGCAGGAAGCAGAACGGAAAGTCGAGGACGCTGAGCGCAAAGTACACGCCGACGGCCGACCATCCGTATTCCCTGGACAGCTTCTTGAAGCGGCCGCTCAGCGAGAGGTTCTCCTCCTTTGCTGCGCCCTGCGCGGCGCTGCGCCTCCACGCCGAGAAGAAGAAGCTCCGTCTTTGCGCAGCTCCTCTGGCGAAGCTCTCAGCTGTCCGGGCGCCGTGTCGCGTGGCTCCTCCTGCCCTCCAGGGCTGGGTCGTCGCATGTAATCTTGCTGTCCATGATGCGATGCTGCTGCTGCTGCTGATCGTCGTCTGGGGTGTTGCGCCTGGCTGGGCCGAGAAGAGTCTTGTCCAGAGGTCTTTGAATGGGGTGCCGCCGTATTGCGCGGATGCGCTTTTGGCGGGTATCGCCCGGAATTGAAACGTCGTTCGGAACATTGCGTATTATGCTTTTTTGCCCTCGTTTTTTTCCCCTCCTCTGTTTGCACCGATATAGCTCTTCTGGTATTTGTAGCTCCGTCCGTGGAAGAAGGGACAAGGCAACAATGGGACAAAAAGGTAACAAAGTGGCGGGAATTCGCGGCGAAGCTCGTAGAAGGGAATCGCCGGTGAGATATGGAGATAGCGGAGCCTCGGAGCTCGCAGAGTCCGTACCGGCAGCGACGTTGGTGTTATGCCGCAAGGTGAAAAAAGTGACAGCTTCCAATTGCAATTGGATTGTTTTTTCCAGATTGCAGATACAGTGAAGCAGAGGACGGTTAATCGTACAGCTAAGCAAGCTCCCTTTTGCGGTGCTAAGCAAGAGAGAAGCTCGGTTTGTTGGGGCCGGTGGGGTGATCAAGGCGACGAAGCTGGAACTTTTTTTTTGCTCTTTTTTTTTTCTCTCTCTGTCTCTGCTAGGGCTGTACCGACTTGCTTCTATTTTGGCACCGTCAGGTCACGATGATGTAAAAAACGGCTCTCCCCGATCCCGGTCCATCGTGGGATCTGGGCAGGGATTGCAAAAAGGCGCGCTAACAGCAGCAGAGAGCATGTCACGTGCTGTTGACGACATTGAAGATGCAGAGCTGGGAGGACTGAAGATGTCAACAGACAACGGAGATACATATATTTATCTACTTTTTCAGATGATTCTGGAGATGATAGCTTTCCCTTGCCATGTTTGCAATTGTCTGATATTATGGGTTTATAAGGTCGGAACACATGGATGCTGAGAGTGTTGATGTTGTGTCATGTACACAAGCTTAGCAGCTTAGAAGATGACAGGAGGAAGGGGTCGAGAAAGGTTTATCATCTTTTCTCAGGCATAAAAAGCAAAATATCTTCCTCACTTATTATATTGTATCTTCCGGTGAGTTTCAATGCAGAATCCTGCCGCTGGCAGCGCCCGTCGTTGACCTGGCGCCATAGCTTGCCCGTGTTTCGAGACATGATATCGGACACTTGCCAAGATATCTCACTATGCCATAGCTGCAAGGCTTTTGATGCAAACTCCTATGTTATGAGCTTTGCTTGGCATAGAGCAAATAAGTTATATCTTGATCAACAGAAACGGGGTACATATGGCATCTAACCGCCCGTGATGCTGAGCTCCCTCTCAGAACCATTCGTGAGCTCAAGCCCAGCATCGCGAAGTTGGAAGCGAATCAAAGCTTGTATAAACTCGCTTCTCTCGTACTCGTATTGGCTACTAGGTAATTCTAGCCGAATCAAATGTTCGTCTGTAGCAGTGAATCAGGCTGGGAACAATGGCAGCACGTGGCTCCTTCCGCTCAGGGGCATTGTCTCCCCTGAGCAGCTGTTCGTCACCTGCCAAGTCGCCAGCATCAGGCCTGTCACTCCCCAAATGCCACTGAAGAAGAGCTGAGCTCTGCTGCACTCCAGGCCACAAAGGTGCATGCCTTATAACTTTCTTTTTCTCTCCACCGACTTCGGCTTTTCTTCCCTTCTCTTCCTCTTCTTCCTCTGCACCAAATCATGGGCTCCTAATACCACCGCCCTGCCCTCTCTCAAGCTGCACTGCTTCCCTCTCGCACTTGAGCTCTTCCTTTCCGGTAAACCAAGTCCCTCGCTTATTCTCGCCTCTGGGACATGAACTCCCCCAGATTCCGCGCCGATCACCCAGACCGTATGTATGATCCTGGTGGCCGGCCTTAGGCATCACTGGAGTTTCATCTCTCGCGCAGATCTGGCTGCGTGACTTGTCCTCGGCCATCGAATACTCACCTGACCGACGAGAATATACTGGCCGTCAATCACGCCATTCACCATATTTCCCCCCCATTCCACTCGTTTACTGACTGACTCCGATTCACTCGTTTATTTCCTTCCGTCGTTCTTTTCGTCACTCATTTTCCGTTGGTCGTGGTTGTATGTCTCATCGTCTTCAGTTCACTTGCTCATTCACCCCCAATCTTTTTTTTTTTTTTTTTTTTTTTTTTTTTTTTTTTTTGTCGTTTTCAGGACGACTTCGCCTCGAGATGCCACCTCCGCCTCGTACCTACGGGAAGAAAAGGAGCTTCTTTGGATCTCTGGGCTCCCGACACCGCTCCAGGGCCTCGACTGATTCTCTGCCGGCCAAGAACCCGGGTATGTCATCCGTCTCTGTCCAATCTTGTAAAGACAAAGCTAACTCTGCACTGATAGATCATGGTTCACCATGCGTGAATACCTCCTACGACACCGTGAAGCACAGCACCAGGTCGCAGAAGAATGTCCAAGCGGCCAGCATTGATGATATTGCGAGCGCCTTACTCGATGACAGCGACTCAGAGATGCCAGCAGAAGAAGAGGCCATGCAACAGTCAGAGAGTGGCATTCTCGACTCCCCAACTTCTACTGCTTTTGCTTCTGCAGCCCAAGTAGGAGAACAGCGCACCTCTTCTTATTCGCCGAGCACTTCGAAGGAACGAACAACTAGCAACAGCAGAGGCTACCGGCCAGGCGCTCCTCGAGTACAGAAGACATCGCCCAACAATTTTACGAAACCGTCCAGGCCTCGTGGCAACTCAACCGCGTCTCCCAAGCGCAAAGACTATAACTTGATCCGCCCTCTCGCAGATCCCGCGAAAAAGACTACCAATCGTTCCTCATATATCGTCTTGAAAGACTCGGAAACGGTTTGCCTTCTTCCCCATAACGTCATGGACGGAGCTCCGGGAATCCTCGTACAAGGCGACAAGGCCAGCCAAGGCTGCGCTGTCCCGGCGAGTGCCGATGAGATTCAGGAGAAGGTGTGTGCCATGTTGGCTGCAACCGATGCTTTGAAGCCGTCGCCTTCTCAGTCTCAGCCAAAGAAGTCGCCCGCCTCCAAAGTGAATCGCATGACGCCTTCACGAATGCTGGCCAAGGTGTCAAGTGCGTGGGACAGATGGCAGGTGAAATCGTCCAACACAGCAGCAGCAGCAAAACCGCGTGCCAAGCTCACGAAGCAGCCTATTCGTGATGACCCCAACGGTCCTTTGACTTCCCACCCGGTGTTTCACACGCCGCCTGTCCGAAGATCCTCTTTCATTGACACCATTGAGATACGTCTCAACGAAGGAGACAACCTCAATAGAAGAAAGGTGCAGCAAATGGTGGGGGGTCATGTAGCTCGCAAGCCTGTTGCCAATGACGGAAAGGCCCTCAGGAGTGGCCGATCCATGGACGAGGACCCTTTCGCTGAGCCTGCCCCTTATCTTCGTCCAGGTGTGGTTGAGAATCGCGCAACGATGAAACTCATGCTTGGACCCAGTGTATCTTCTCTCCTCATCATTGACCCCTTTGAAGCCGAAAAGGGGTTCGAGAGTAATCTCGAAGATAGGATTTTGAGCTCTTCCCCTGTCTGTGCATCAACACCCCGAATCCATCTTCACAGGGTTCAGACCCCGACAGACGGGGTCAATGTCGACGAGCATTGCTCGAAAGGGCCGACGCAAATGAGCCTCGAAAGGATGACCACTGACTCCGAATACTCATCTCAAGAGGCGGGGTCCTTCAGAAAAGCCGCAGATCAGGAGGTGCAGCTGAGGCGATTGCCGAATACTGATCGCATTGCCGTCGGGTTTCTGCGAGACGCGCCATCCTTGGATGCTTGCCATGTCAAATGGTCAAAGAAGCACCCATCGCCGAGCAAGAGAGATCTGGAAGAGCTCGAAATAGCCTTTCGATGTTATAGTGAGCTTAAGCGACGCGGAATTGGTGAAGAAGCAGATGAGCTCGCGGCACACTATACGCCCTCGGCTCGATATCTGTCCCCGCGAGACACGAATAGGCTGATGAGGACGCGTGAAGAGGATGCCAAGTCCGTGCCTGCCTGTGAAGCCCAGTCACCGGCCAGGTCCCACATGCGACGCCCAACTGACGAAGTGCGACGCGGTCAGCATATTCGCCTTGCTCCCATCTACCGGCCAGCGGTCCCGCACTCTGACGAGATTGATGAGCTGCAGTAACGCTCGAGTCGAGAGGCATCTATGATGGAGATGGTGAACAGATTGGAGTCGCTATATGCACCAACAAAATGGAAAAACTACATGAACAAAAGGTCAAAAGGGTAATGGGTGGGTTGGTAAGGAAGGGAACGGAATGGAAAGGACCTGAAAATGCGAAAGGGGAAAAAATGGGATAATAACTGGGTGCTTCCAGAGTGGTTTCTACACATGGGCTCACCTGGAAACTCTTGCCTTCGAATGGTGCTCGCACACGAGCCCACATCTACAGTTGGCTTTGACAGAGTATAATACATCGGAGTTACGAGGAAATAGTCGGCAGGAATTTGATGCTCTTAGAGATATCAAGATAATAGTTCAATAGGTAGATATTATTAGATTAAGCAAAATGAGTGTGAGACTTTGCAATTGCCGTTTCTATAGGGTATCATTGGTGACGTGGTATCGTTCTGCGTCATCATCTCGTCGTGGTGTAAGAAGGTGAAGGAGCCATCATCCATGAATTACAAAAAGCGTCTGCGGTGCGATCCACGACCGTCGGTGCCACGCATTCTGCGAGTTCCAGCAGCCTAGATTTGCAATTTGATGTCAGCCCATCGAGTCCTTCACGTCCCATGTAATAGTGGTAAGGAAGTGGAATCATACCTTTACGCCAGGACGACGAGTCAAGCTTCCCTTGAGCCTCATGATGGCACCGCTGACCTTGTCCTTGAGGGTGGGCTTGCGCTGCTGGTGGTGCACGACGCCGACGCGGGGCTGTCTCCGGGAGAAGATGCTGCGGCGGTAGGGCCTTGCGGTGGTGGTTGTTGTGGTGGTTGTTGCGTGGTGTCTTCTGCGGGTTCCGAAGGGCATTTTGATGGTTGTTGTTGTTGGGTTGCGTATAACTTTTTGTCTGTTTGGCAGGTTTTGTTTATTTAGGGCGGAAGAATTGGTGGATATCTGTATGAATGTGTATTGTATAAGAGATGGAGTGGGATGAAAGGGGGATATATATAGGTAGATTAAGTCTGGAGATGGAAGATGGAAACTGGATGTATGTATATGATGATGCAAGTGAGATGGGTTGCGTGTGATACCCTGCAGGTCAAGAGCATGACGATCACAACGTAATTTACCCTCCCTCCCAATAAAAATCAGGCTTCTCGGAAGTCCGTATCTAGAATCCTGATGGTGTCAATAGAAAATCTGATGCCTTGTTGTACGGCTATGCATTATAACGACTAGTAATTGGTACAACCCAATAAACCGGGCAATCAATTTATAGAGTTGGGCTCAAGGTTTAAAGAGCCGTCATTTTACGTCACTTGCAGCAAGCTTGTTTGGTCGTGGTTCAATTAGAACTGCCCGGATTGTCTTGGACCCTGTGGCTTGAGACGTCATGTGTGGCGGTTGGTGGAGGGTGGGTGTGGCTGGTAGTGCGTCACTGATAGGCCCGTCATCGAGATCCGGCAACTTCATCTTGGCATTGTTCCTTTGTTCAACACGATAATCCACAGGTTTCAAGATTGTCGCAGGTCTTTGAGAGTAGTCTAGTTATCTAGGCGGAAACAAATCTACATGTTCAACATAGTCGCTCCCTTGGTCACGCCTTTTTCCAATCCGTCTTCTTGTCCACTAAGTTGTCACATATCCCTTCTGCGTCTATGGTATCACAAACAACAATGCAAAACGCATTGACAACTGCCACTTCTTCTCTTACAGTTGCATATGCAAAGAATCAAGAACGAATGTTCTTCTTGATGGTAACGAGATCTTCCTCGGAGATTCCCAACCCTTTGGTGATGTAGCCGTCCCAGCCGCCAAACTTCTCCTCAAGGCCCTCGAGAAAGGCGGTCCAATACTGCGGTCGAAGCTCAACGAGGTTGTAGAATCCAGGGGTTTCCATGTCGGTGGTGCCGACACTGGCCAAGGCAAACTTTAAGAGCTTGTCACGAGCAACTTCAGTGCCGACACGCGAGAGCATATAGTCACGAATGGCATCGTCGGTGGCCGTGCCAGCGAGGTGGTGAAGGAGACCAGCGAGGACCCCAGTGCGGTCACGCCCGGCTGGTTCATAGTGTTAGTCAAACGGGAGCAATGAAAGGCCAAGGCGAGTCGCCCACCTGTGCAATGAAAGAGAAACGGCTCTGTAGGCTTGTCCCTGATGTGCTCCAGCACCGCCTTGTAAGTCGGCGCATAGGTCAGAGCAACGGCCATGTACTGGTCCTTCCAAGCGGCGCTGCCGTCTCCCTTGGCGAAGTCGGCCAAGCTCGGTGTCTTGTACTCTTGAGACCCAGGGAACCAGACATTCTCGACGCCCTCAATCTCAGGATCAGGGCCATGTTCTCGCTCAATCGGCTTGCGCAGGTCGAAGATGCGGCGCACGTTGCCCTTGATCCAGGCCACCGTATCGGGGTCCTGGCCGGCGTACTCGAGGGTGCCGCAGCGGAAGATGCGTCCGGGCGGGATCTTGCTGCCGGGCACGGCGCCGACGTCGCGGGCGTTGATGAGCGTCTTGGAGGGGATGAAGGGCGCATTGGAGAGGATAGGGAAGAGCTTCTCTGGCGCAATGGGCTCGCTGACGTGAGTGTGGAGGAGAGCGTCGAGCTCGGCTGTTGACGATGGAGTGGCCATGGCTGTGATTTTTGCTGGGTGTTGCTGAGGAGTTGTCAATAATGGCTCGGCCGTGATGTGGATTTCTGCCTCTTCCACGGCGGGATCTGTTTTGGTTCGCTGTATGCAAGAAGAAGAAAGAGGAGAAAAAGAAGAAGACACAGTTGAGTCGAAAGAGGGAAGAGTAGAAAGAAAGAAGAAGAGGAATACGAACTGTCTGGCGGTTGGTTGTTGGCCCAATCGGGATGGTTACGACAAAGGAAAGTCGCTAGCAAGCTGACGAATGCCGGAAAGCGCTTCGTACTTACGCTCTTTCCTATCCTAGGTAACAATGAAATGCCGACATCACATGGGGAAGGAATGAATTGATGCAGCGTTTGTCTCTTTCCTGCAGAATTTAGTAAGCAATTCTAACGTCACTTGACGCTCCAGCACGTGAATCATAGATTTCGACCTCTTTCAAGAAAACAAACATCTACCTTAACTCAACTATAACACAAAACATCAATATTCTCTTTGAGGTTGTTGCGGAATCCCGAGCGTAAACAACTCTCAAAAGGAGGGGTTCCTTGACAGATTGCCCCTCCTTTTCCTCGGCCGTCCATTCATTCTTCATTCACCCCGCCATTTATGCAATCTGCTAAGCCACGGTTCATGCTAGTGTCCGCATGGCCAGTTCCTGACCAGCAGCAAATGGAAACTTGGTCCAACAAATCGGGAATCGAATCCGCGTCGGCCAGAGATAAGGCATCGCGCCACCATGGCTAAGAAATAAGCCTTGAAAGTCCCTTTGGGGTGTTACTGAAAGGAACATTCTTTAGGAGGGCGTCCATCAAGCTTTTCAGGACCACTTTTCGAGATACGGGTGCATGCATCGTCTGCGTACATGTAAGCATTGCAAACATGCTAGGCTAGATTCCCTACCAACAACCATTGTACGCTCTTTTCACCTCTACTGTTGTCTAGGCAGAGCCGACAGTCTCAACACCAGCACTAGAGAGAACAATGGCGCTGTCGCCGCTCCTTCGCTGGGGCATCTTCGTCTCGGCTATCGCTGCCGCCGTCTTTGCCTATTCCTTCAAGCAACACCCGTTCCTCTTCACCACCTCTGAGCACGACCCCCTTCCAGTCCATTGCTACAAGAGCGTGAGGACTCATGATGCCGAACACCCATATGCTGAGTGCTTCTCTGTGGAGGACGGCATGTTCCGTCATGTTTGTACCCAGGATGACCGAGACTCTCTGCATGGAGTCAGAGGAATCGATGTTTCTGTTTCGGACGGCTATGCGATCCCCGGTCTCTGGGATGGCCACGGACATCTGCTGCAGTATGGCGAATTTCTTCACTCCGTTGATCTTTTCGGCTCAAAGTCGCTTGATGACGTGAGAGATCGCATCAAGAAATACCTTGCCGCGAATCCGGGTGCTGGCACTAAAGACCGGTGGCTTCGTGGTGTTGGCTGGGATCAATCTGCCTTTGGACGCATGCCTACGGCTGTTAGTGACCGATTCTCAGAGAAACACCATTTGCGATCCGGCGTGCTAACCATTGGCCTTGTTGGGGCCTTGTAGGATGACATTGAAGAAGATGACGAACTCAGGGGTATCTTCATGATGCTGGATAGGATTGATGTTCACTGCTCTTGGGTCTCGCAGGCAGTATTGGAGCTCCTCCCTTATGAAATTCCCGATGTTCCTGGAGGGGATGTCATTCGTGATCCCGGTCCAGGAGTCTTCTGCGACAACGCTATAGATATGATTATGGATCTGTGGCCGAAGCCCGGGGAGGAGGACAAAGCCCGAGCTGTTAAGTCAGCCATGAAGGAGCTCAACAAGGTCGGTCTGGTAGGACTGCACGATGCCGGTGTGACGGCTGAAAACGCTCGGCTTTATTCAGAGCTGGCAACTTCTCCAGACTGGACTGTCCGGGTTTACAGCATGCTTGAGTGTGCGAAGAGAAACACGTTTTGCCCTGAAGACGCGCCTCGGATCGCTCATCAGAATGGCATGTTCGGATTACGAAGCGTCAAACTGTTCGCTGGTGAGTCACCTCAGCTTGCTAAAGCGTTATCCAATACTAACCTTTTTTTGTTCCTCCTGAAATGAAGATGGAGCATTGGGTAGCTGGGGAAGTGCCATGCTCGAGCCTTACAGTGACCATCCTTGGACCTCAGGCTCCCTTCTCATCAATGCGTCAGCCCTCACAAGTGTGACAAAGTCTTGGGCCAGAGAAGGATTCCAAGTCAACATCCACGCTATAGGAGACTTGGCCAACCGCAACGCCATCGACGCCTTTGAAGCGGCCCTGAAGCAGGAATGCGGGCAAGAAGCCCTCTCCGAGTGCCAATCCCGGCACAGGTTCCGCATCGAGCACTCGCAGATCATCCACCCCATAGACCAGAAACGCATGCATGCCCTCGGCATCATCCCTTCCATCCAGCCCACGCACGCCACCTCCGACATGAAGTACGCCGAGGAAAGAATCGGTCCAAAGAGAACCGAGGAGGAAGCCTACCGCATGAAGTCTCTGCTCGACATCAAGCCTATCCTGGGCAGCGACTTCCCCGTGGAGCCGCCAAACCCGTTCCAGGGAATTTACGCTGCCGTCACGAGGAAGAGCCCGCATACTGGACTTGGGCCTGACCCGGAAGCCCCCTCTGAAGGGTGGCACGCACAAGAGGCTCTCAGTTTGGATGAGGCCTTGATGGGCTTTACGCGGAACGTGGCGTATGGAGCCTTTCTCGAGCAGTACGCAGGCGTTATCAGACGCGGTGCGTTTGCGGATTGGGTCGTGCTTGATGCGCCGCTAGAGGACATGGACATTGAGAAGCTTCGAACTCTCAAGGTCAGGGAGACTTGGGTGGGCGGTAGGAGGGTGTACTCGCGGGACGAGGAGCAATGAACATCGTCCTGCGCCAAGTAACGACGATTCGATACGTTCTTGTTCATCAATCACGGTTCTCAGCTTCACGATCTGATACGCCCCAGACATTTGCATTGCACAAGCTTTTGGAAAATTATCAACAGCACATTGCGCCATATATGTCGCAAATCGACAACAAGATGCCCCGTTTATAGATACACATCATCAGTTACGAAGAAGACTTCGTATGGAAAGAATATTTCCCCAGCAATCATAGACCGAAGAAGTGAAATAAAGGAAAAGATGGATACCACCGCTATTAACGCCATGCGAGTTGCCAACTTTCTTGTCGACGAGCTTGAATCGAATAGGACATTCCTCCTCCACTACCCACTTTCTCCCGTTACTTCTCACGCCTTGACAATCACCTTTGACTCAAACCACTTGGCAAACTTGACAGTGGGGATGTCAATGGCCCTCCAGAAGACGTCTGCCCACCAGACGACGGTAGGGATGCAGAAGCACGCCCCCAGGACGAAACCAGCATTGTACCAGTATCCCTCGACGCCAGTTACGCCGTACGCCCACTTCTCGAAGTGGTAGCCAACGACATGCATAGCCGGTCCGTGCATCAGGTAGATGGCGTATGAAATCTTGCCAAAGTACTGGACAACTGGCAGGTTGAAGAAGCGCTGCCATCGAGGCGAATGGCTCACCGCGACGATAAAAATGACGGCGCCAGTGGACTGCCAGTAACGATACCTTTCCTCCTTCCACCACTTTGGGATCAAGGATGACAGCCATATCCACCCAGGAGTTATCTCGCCCCGGCCGTCTGGCTGGCACATCAAGTACAGGCCAAGAATACTGAATAGAGCCCAGAAGATTGGCCAGTATCTGTTCTTGGCTGAACGGGACTTTTCTTCGATCGGCAGGGCCGGGTTTGGTGTTGGAAGGTGCGCGCCTCGGATGTGATCGTTCTCGGCAATGAGCATACCACAGAAGAACAGCAGAAGTTCCCAACGACTGTTACGATATGTGATGGCCATGACAAAGGCAACCGTGAGCCAACGGATAGAGGTGCGCAGACGAGCGGTGCCGATAATGGTGAGAAAGAGGTAGAGCGAGCATCGAAATTCGACAGGAATTGTCCACAGATGGACGTCGTAAGCTGGGAGGAACGTGTTAATGATGACTCTTAGAGCATATAGGGACAGCAAATGGTTTCCACTTACAGGTACTTCCGCCAAATTTGTCCCAGCTGAAGACCTGAATGAACCTGAACATGTGTAACATCCAGTCCTTGTACTGGGCAAGCGCATGCTCCATGCGAGCCGGATGGGGCTCTACAATATTTTTCATGTATTTTCGGTCGTTTGCAAAGTCTCGAGTCCATTCATAAGCGCCAATTCGCAACAGGCAGATAATCATGAACGTCGACACTGCTGTGGGAAGATATAGACGGATTCCACGTCGAAAGACGAGAGAGCTCATGGTGTTGGCGAAATCCGCCCAGGCTCCGTTTCGAATAAGTTTCAAGGGTCGGTATGAGAGCGCATATCCAGAAATGATGAAGAAAACGCAGACCGCCGGTGGACCTTGGTACCAGAGACGAAGGAATGGCAGCTTGAGGATATGGTAGTTGGTCTCGCCACATCCCCATCCCTCGGCGATAATGAATGCCTGGTAGAAGTAATGGCAAAAGAAGACGATGAGTGCCGCCAGACCGCGCATGCCATCGAGATAGGCAGTTGGGGATAGCTTAGCTGGGCATATCTGCTCGCGAGCATGACGACCTTGCAGGAAACTAGGCGTCAGGAAGATGAGGAAGCGAACTGCGAGAACGCGCCATGGTGTCGATCGGAGGAATCCAAGTGGTGCTTTGAGAGTATCGGCAGAAGAGCTCAGAATGCCAAATTGAAAACGACTGTCGGTATGGATCGGGACCGTGGCAATGCCGGCACCAGTTGCGGTTCCAGTGCTACTGTCACTGGTATCTGTTCCAGCGTCCGAACCTCTCCTCTCGTTCAACAACCCCATCTTCTCTACCTCTGGTGATGAATTGGTGGCGGAACTGTGATTCTTCATTTCGTGGATATGAAGCAATAAGGTTTTGTAAGCTCGCTCTGTCGAAGAGCTAGAGCGGAATCTCAAATCACAAAACTGGTGGGTATCAAGAGACGCTCGGCCTGCGGCTCGTCTATTCCTAGGCAATGAACGATGGTCGAAGCGAGTGACACGTTCTCTTGCCTTGTCACTGACTGGCGTGTGTATACTCGTACAGGGCCAAAGAACACAAGGGCACTCCGAAAGGCAAACTGGCGAACAGACGCAAGACGAAAGAGAGTACGGTGAAGGTACCTAACGAATGGTTGGAGAAAAGTAAGGTGGGCGAAGGACTGTGGCTTGAGAGGGAGGAAGAGAGCCAACTCGGACTCTTCTCTGCCACTGTCTCCCGCGCAGAAGCCTGACGGAGGAAATGAAGACGAAAAGAACGAAAGAAGTGAGGAAAAGAGACGGACGAGGAGGATGAAAGAAAAGAAGACGAAAGAGGACGAAGGGATCCAGGTGACAGCCGAAGGCAAGGGAGAAACAAAGAGGGAGAAGACGAGAAAGGAAAGGATGTGAAGCTAAAGGAGAGCAGGAGAGGATCACTGGCAGTACCGTAATGTCTCCGGGGCTCCATACTGTAGAAGGTACTGTACGTGCATGGCGATAGTACCTTCCTTGCTGGCCTGGATGGCGATCCGTGTGAGAGGCTCCTTCCGCACGCAAGAAGGTTTCGGGTTTCCACATTTCGTGGAGATTTAGCATAAAGTACCCGTCAAGTACATACGGGGAAGGCAATTGTAAGAATGGGGATGAGGCAATTGCTATCTGAACGAAGCTTAATACTCGGACGCTACTTGATTGTAAGAGGTGTCGAGGAAAGATCCATCGATCGCCTGGACGGGAAGCTGCATCTGGTGTTGGTATCACTAGATCTAGCAAGGCAGCAGATTATTTATTAGTAGTTATTTCTGCATCTCGTCATGATCTGAACAAAAAGGAAAAAGGATATAGTACCGACTGGTGTATCGTGCTGTCGACCTGAATGCGGAAGTGCAGGTGGTATCCGAAAGTTTGCACTCCACTCGTGGAACTGCGCCAAAGTCTGTATTGTAATTGGGATGTTCTGTCCTCTTGCTGTAGCTCAAGCCGCTCGACCGGAAAGTAAGGTTACGGATCACATCAATTTCCCTCCAGCACCCAATTCTGCTGACTATCGTTGATCAACATCACTAGTCGAGCAAGTCGAGCTGCTTATTGAACTACCTCGACGCTGCGTGGCGGAATTGTTCCAGAAATTGTTTGTTGCTTGAATTCCATCTTGCCATCAACCTTGAACCGAGCTGGCAAGGCAAGGTTCGGCAAGCGGCCCCCACGGCGCCACGGGCGCCACTTAGATCGGCTCATTGCGGAGTGCTTTTCCGTAGCTGAAGCAGGTAATTTTCGGGCGTCTCCTTTGCGCGCTGCCTCTTGTCGAATTCACGAACGCAAACATGCTCGACCGGAAGCTACAGCAGGGTGCACAAACAACTGTTTGCCCCTTTGTGCTGTGGTGATACAGAGTTCTATTCAGTCTTGTTGGAATCTTAAGGAGGTGCCTAACCTTCGCACCTTTGATTCCTTGCAGCACAATGAGACCAGAGCAACAGAGCAAGAAATACATGTGCTTATCATCATGATGCTGAATTGGCCACCACCGGAACGCCGTCATCAGCTCGAGGGTAATCACACTCCCTGCAGCTGCAAGCATTCTCATGCATCTTCCAGGGGCAAACAGAAAAGCTTGTTTGATCTACACATCATTTCGCCGAATTTAGCAGTTTATTATGATACACTAGCGGGCATCTCTCACAGCACGGCCAGACAACTATGTACCTTACTGTGCAGCACATACGAGGATATACACCAGTCCCTCACAGATTGCACGATTCATCACGGATGATGGACACGGTGACCCTGAAGGCCGTCTCCTGGACCCACGGCCGATCGCTTTCAACCTCCGTATCAAGACGATGGATTGGCGGTCCGTTGTCTGACTTATAACCGCGGGCTGCCCACCAAGTGATTACGCCTTCTCCGTACAGTATCCTACAGACGCTCACATCACTGTGATGCTGAGCATTTGTGCAGTTTGTCTGATTCGTCATGCTCGACACAAGATTCGAGATGTGAAATATGTCAGCTATTACAAAAGACGGCACAGTTCTTCTCCTATTCAGCCCGTACGCGGAGCCCCGGATTTTCCTCGCTGTCGTACTTGCCCGCATCGACGCCTCTCTGCACCGGCGGCCGCGCTGCAATCCGGTCAATCCACTGCAGAAGATGGGGGAAACGGGGCCGCATGTCGCCCTCCTCCGAGAACCCCAGCGACAGGTACGCGCGAACATGAGGCCAGGTGCCCATATCGGCGATGCTGTACTTTCCTCTGCCGTGGCCAGCCAAGTATTGGCGAGAATGGCCGCTATGCTGTCCGCTGAGGTGCGCCTCTAGGACGGAGTATATGCGAAGCATGGCGGCTTGGAAGTATCGCGCTGCATCTATGATGGCCGTTGAGCCAAAGCTTCTCCATGCATGTTTCTGCCGTGAAAAGAGAATGATGCACTTACACGGTGCAGGCTCGGGAACTCCTTCCACGAAATGCCTAGTATGGCCTTGCACCGGGCCAGACGAGTGCCAAAAGAAGAGCCACTGAAGCGCCTGACTCCTTTCAGATGCGGATCCGAAGCCAAAGACGTTGCGCGGATCGTGATGTTCTTGCAGGTAGGTTAGGATTGCCGAGCTCTCGAAGATGGAGATTACGGAGCCGTCTTCAGCGACATCCAGGAGTACTGGGATCCGGCCTAGACGACGCCATTAGATGATGGTATGCGAATCACGAGACATGGCAGCCGGAGTCTGTCATGATAAGAAAGGGGCTTCGGAGCCTTACCATTAGGATTCAAGCGAAGGAACCAGCGCTTCTTCTGCTCGTCTGTTTCGAGGTCGATGAGGTGCGTGGCCCACGAGATGCCGTATATATCCTGGAGCTCCTCCAGTAGTATCTGTACCTTTTTGCCGTTTGTGGTGTTTTCTGTCAGTAGCTGGAGAGGGTGCTGTGTATCCTTGCGTTAGCATTCTGATCAAGCATACAGCTTATGATTCTCTTCTTTTGGAGAATTCCCCTTGCCTTGGAATCTTTGACTTGGGAGGGCGTATCTGCGGTATATTCCACCTCCATACTTGGAATCGCTGTCGTACACCCAAGAAGAATACCGTTCTCTACCGTTCTTTGTGCTACCTTGCCTCTATACAAGCAAGAAGTGCAACTATGGAAAGTACAGAAAGCCTGTCAATCACAATCTTAAGCTCTACGAGGAGTTGAACCGACCGTCTTGCGCCTTTTGCCGGTTGACTCATAAGCACGAATCCTCCACAAGAACAATGGTCTCCCGCGCTTCCCAAGTTGCTGACCGGATAAGGCACCTATGCAAAGTTACTACTACTTCTCTACCTATGCCTTTATACTTGTTGCTTGCACGGGTTTAAAGCTTCTTTTACCTGTTTACATGAAATCGCCATCCAAAACATCGTGAGCGCACAGTCGTCTCTGCATTAGTGTTGATACGCGATGCAGTTGCTTTCATCTCATCTCTTCCATAGCTGCTACCAAGGCTTATCTACCTACCTAATCTGGCCTCAACTCTGAGCAGCACACTTACGCATTTCGTCCCAATCCAATCAACTAAACCAATTCATATGAAGTCAGCCCCCCGTACAACAAACACTCAATAAAGCAAAAAGAAAGCAAGAAGCAAAAGCAGCGCATTCCACACGAACGCAACCCCCCGTTTGCCCAAAGCGGCATGAGGTATATACCGAACCAAGCTTTTGTCTTATACCGGCGCCGCGATCCTTCTTCTCCTTCTTAGTTGCTAAATCCCTTGTGTTGTCATCCTCGCATTTGACGACCTGTAATACATAGTTCCTTGAGAGTGGAGCGGAGTGTTTGGAATCTCCGTATGTATGTGAGAGGGGGGAGGTGCCTAAGTGCTTATATGGCAAATCTGGACAACTACTTCATTGATACTTTGGGGCCATCCCAAACGTTCTCCTTGATTTTGTCTACCGCCCCGACAATTGTACCTCGAACCGCCAACAATCTTCTCTTTTGCCCTTCTTTTCCAATTCCTTTCCTTCTTTCAATAAGTACATCGCAGCTGGCTAACATGGCCGTCACTCACGTCGTTCTCGTCGGCTTCAAGCCAGATGCCAAGGCCGAAGACATTGAAAAGGTGTGTTTTACTTCTACTTTACAGCATTCCCAAACTGCACACCACACCCACACCGTCATCAGTAGACATATACCAGAAGGGAGAAGAGCAAGAATAAGAACAAGGGAAAAAAAAAAAGAAGCTCATGAATACTCATCCCAAACACAGTTCAACTCAACCCTCATGGCCCTCAAAGACACCTGTCTCCACCCCACCTCCCAGAAGCCCTACATCAAGTCCCTGACCGGCGGAATCAACAAGTCCCAGGAGGGCCACAGCGTAAGTCCTTTTTTTCTTTTTTTCTGTTTCTCTTACCCATCAACCTAAAAGAAACACCAAGAGAACAGTCAAGTAAGGAGAGGGAAGCACAACACCGGGTGGAAAACATCGGCCAATGCTAATGACCGTTGGGGCTAGGATGGGCTTACTCACGGCTTCATCTTCGAGCTCGAGTCGGAGGAGGACAGGCTGTACTTCATCCACAAGGATCCTGCTCACTTGGCACTCTACGCCCTTGCTGCTTGTGTTGAGAAATTCACCCTGCTCTCCTTTGTGCCTGGCGTATTCTAGTTAGTATTTCGTAGGTATCCAAAGTTGAATGAGCGATATATCACCACATTATCTTATGCAACGTGAGCATCACATACCACAAGATGCATTCTTTTGTTTTAAGAGGAGATTGTATTATAAAAAACCATCAATAAACGTCATACCTCGCCCTTGTGCTAATAACCCATGCCTCGCTCTAAAGACGTATAAAGAGCAGTTCTAAAAGACAAATGCGTAAAAGTCGTCTCATCAAATCAACATGCCAACACACAAACGCCAGTTCTTTTCCCTTTTTGTTTTCCCATGCTAACCCGCAGTCTCCCTTTATTCTTCAAAATGATGCATTAGTTCTCCAGCCAATCGAGAAACTGGGGAGTAAAGTAGCTGATGACAATTGTGGCACCGGCTCGAAGAATGCTCTCGGTAGACTCGAAAGCCATGGCCTTGAGATCAAAGACTCCGGCTTTGGCAGCGGCGTGGATCATGGAGTACTCGCCGCTGACCTGGTACGCAGCAACTGGCATATCCTTGCCCAGCTCCTTGGCGTCACTTATAATGTCGAGGTACTGGCCAGCAGGCTTTACCATGATAATGTCGGCACCCTCGCTGATGTCGCGGACAATGGCTCGGCGAGCAAGGCCACGACCTCCAGGAGGGAGCTGATAGCATCGGCGATCACCAAATGCAGGAGCAGAGCCAGCTGCGTCCCGGAAAGGTCCGTACAGGCAGCCGGAGAACTTGGCAGAGTACGACATGAGCAACGTCTTGTGCGCAATGCCCTCCTCGATCAGCTTCAGCTTGATAGCACGGATGCGGCCATCGTTCATGTCGGAGGGAGCTACGCAATGGGCTCCGGCCTTTGCATAGGCGATGGCAACATCAGAGATGCGATCGACGGACATCTGGTTGTTCAGGCTGCTGTCTTCGCGGAGGATGCCGCAGTGTCCGTGAGAGGTATATTCGCAGAGGCAGACATCGGCGCAGATGAAGATCTGGGGGAAGCGGCGGCGAATGAGCTGGATAGCCTGGATGACGGGGCCCTCGGGATCATCGGCTGCGCTGCCCAGAGCGTCCTTTGTGCCAGGCTTCTGGGGCACGCCAAACAGCATGACGGATCGCAGGCCCTTGTGCACGAGAGGCTCGAGGAAGCCGACCAGTCTGCTGAGGGAGATTTGGTATTGACCGGGGAGGGAAGCCACGTGGATCATGTCATCCTCGCCATCAGTAACGAAGATGGGGTAGATGAGCATCGACTGGAGGGCAAAGCGGGTTAGTATGAGACACCGGCAGCGCATCAATTCAGCAAGAACCTCGTCTCACCTTGGTCAGTTGGCGCTCAGACTGCCATGATCGAGCGAGGGGGTGGAAGTAGCCACCGTGAAGCTGGCTGCCGATATCGCCCGAGATGCTGACGCTGGTGGCCGCAGTGCTGGCGTATCCAGACATGGTGCGCGAGATGTGGGAGGCCCGGTCGTCGAAGGTGGAGGTTGAAACGGAGGGCGCAGGGCCAGGCCGGCGAGCGCTGTTAGCATCGCGAAGGCTGAGCTCCTGGACGAGACTGGAGAAGGACATGTTGAGCTGGTCAATTGCGCTCGGGCGTGGCTCTGGACGAGTTGTCGTGAGGAGGGTCGGTGGGACCGGAGAGAGGCGGATGGTGACACGGCGAGAAGACGCCTTCCGATGGTGTGCGCAGAATAGAGAAGAGAAATCGGGAATAAGTCACCGGCAGCGCCAAAGGCAGAGAAAAACAGACCAACACGCGAGACAAAGGATATCGAGGGCGAGAAGAAGAAGAGACGAGTTTGAGAAGAGGGAAGTAGAAGTAGAAGAAGAAGAAGAGAGGCGATGGCGAAAACCGGGGGACGTTGGCACTTGCCCGCCGCCGTCAGATTTTTTGTCGTGTGCGCTGAGACGGCTCCGCGGAGGCAGGAACTGCAGTCGGTTGCAACTGCCTCGGATGGCGCTGCATGTCGCTGCCGACGCCGCACAGGTGACCAATCAGAGGCGGCCGTTTTCCAATAATGCGCTAGATTTTAGCGGTCGTTGGCGGTTGCCAGACATGGAATGCTGCGCTGCTGCAGGCGTATTCTGGGCGTACCTGCTTATTCCAGGCGGCTGGCTGACGGTGGAAGGAACTGGCCTATTTGATGCACGGATGCACGACGGGAGTTTCGGCGCAATTGATTGATCCATGGACTCGATATATGATCCGATGAGGGCTATAATGGTCAATCCTCTGAGAGTACCATCAAATATTTACACCAAGTGAATTCAACTTCTCCAGCCTCAAACATGATACATCCTGCAATCCCTCAATGCCACCCGCCAAAACGACTAGGACTCGTAGCGTGTTGCACCATCCGGCAAGGCTCGTACGAGTGCGAGTACGAGGCAAAGCCGCAGCCCCGGCCCGGACGACACCCGGCATTTGCTCGGAGTGCTCCAGATATCGAGGCACATGTAGCACCTCGATCAAGTGCTCACTCCAGCTGGTGCTTCTGCGCAGGGAGCGGCACAACTCTTGCCGCACGTCCGTTTCGGGCTATTTCAAGCTGCTGATGTCATATTCCGTCTTAGCATTTCGTTAAATCGTTGATCTGGTTCTGATTGAAGGTCCCACCAGCAACTGTACAGCTTCAGTGTCGCAGCCAAATAACTCAGTAGTACTAGTACAGTGTATTGTCTATCTCGCCATACATGAAGGTATCGATGCTCCCGACCTCATCAAGTGTTCTACCGTGAGACCTTGCTACAAAACGCCTTTTTTTTTCTGTTCCCCTTATGTCGCTGTGTAACTCTCCCGCCTCTCTTTCAAGCTCTCTTACAGTCCTCGCAGGATGGTGTTGTCTCGCTTATCCATCGGGATATATCTCTCCTGGAGAATCTCCGCCGGTGTCCGCGTGTCTTGGGACCTCTGGTATCGTTGATTCAGGGCCTTTTGAACAGGGTCCAGCTGTGACTTGACTGTGTTACCCGTCATCTCTGCCACCTGCTCACCCGCCAGGCCAACGGCATTCTTCGCCTTGTCCACGATCTCCTTTGCCTTCTCCCGGCCCTTGTCCACGGTTGCGCTCACAATCTCCTTGGCCTCGGCGGCCGTCTCCTCCATGGCTTTCCTCGTTCTTAGTCTTGCATCCAGAGCCCGGTTCTCCGCGGTCATCTCAAGAGCATCGACTGTTTCCTTGGCCTGGCTGAACGCGCCTCTCGTAGCAGCAGCAATCTCGCCTCCAGCCTTGGCCTGCGTCCTCTTGACCGGCTCCAGAGCGCGCCTGGCCCTCTCCACTTCCTCCACGGACCGGCCTGTCGCCTTGGCCCAAAGGTACGCGGCCCTGGCCTCCATGCTCTCCCGCACCTCGTCCCAGTCCGTGTGCTGCACCCAGCGTACGGCATTTTCAATCTCCGAGTTCCATCGTTGCTTAATGACCTCGACGGCAGCTTCTCGCTGGGCAGCGGCGACTTCGGACCGTGTCGGGGGGAGCGGCTGAGGGACGGGGTCGAGGAGGTGCTGGATCATGAGCGTCTGCGTGCGCAGCGATTGGCTCTGGGCCTCGCGGCTGCGCTGGTGGGCGAGGACGGAGAGATATGCCAGTGACAGGGTGAGCGTCACGCCGCCGGTCTACCGTAGAGCATGTAAGCATTGTGCTGGTGAAAGCGGACGTGGCATGGAGATGAATAATCGGATGCAAGGAGCAGACTTACGAAGCCGGTTGCGAAGCCCATGGTGTCGCTAGAGAGGCGATGCGAATGGAATGGATTCGATGAAGAGAGAAGAGAGAGAGATTATTTCAACAAGTGCGGCTTCGTGTAATTGTATGCCCCTATGCGCGGCTTCTCATGGTGCAATTGAGCTCCGCAGCTGCCTCAAAATGCAAATTTGCGATTATTTCAGGCCAAACAGCAGGTGTTTTGTTGCCTGCGCCGCGAGTTTGACACGGGAAAAGAGTGACGATGTTGGAGCTGTTGGAGTTGATTTTGACGTAGCTGCTCAGCCGATGGCTCGAAAACGGGGCCCGAGATTCGCCGCCCGCCAAAAATTTCAAGTACAAACTACAAAAAAAATTACGGCCAACCAGACGGCAGCCCACCATCCAAAAGGCCCGGAGCCGTGAGAAACGCTCATTCTCGGCTTCACAACAGCGACCGGCCCCCCAAAAATCTATATCGACGAAAGACGAGAGGAAAATACCCCGTGAACAATTGAATCCTCCCGCCCTTCGCATCTCCCCATCCGACAGCACTCCGTCGCAGAGGCAGCTCCTCCAACTGGCCGCAAATGGCTGGTGGCACCGTCAAGTACCGGCATCTGAGCCGCAACTCCTCCGCCAGACAGGCGCTGCTGCGAGGCCTCGTCACGCAGCTCGTCCAGTATGAGCACATCCAGACCACATACGCAAAGGCCAAGGAGACGCAGCGCCTGGCCGACAAGTTGATTACGCTGGCCAAGAGGAACAATGAGCCGTGCAGGAGGTCGGCGCAGGGCATTCTATACGTCAGTGTTGGACCAGCATGATTTCCCAAAAAAAGAAGTCCGAATCTGCTCCTTCTTGGTTCCAGTTATACTGATGTTCAAGAGTTCGCTTAGACCCCGAATCTGCTTCTTCCGAAACTCTTTGGCGAACTGCGCAACCGCTATCTCACGCGCGAGGGAGGCTACACCCGCGTCGTCCGCACCGAGCCCAAAAACACATACGACCAGGGCGAGAGCGCCATCCTCGAGTTTGTTGACGGGAAGAAGGACTCCCGGTTCATGATGACGGCCAAGACGCTGGCGCGAGACCGGCTGCTGGGGCGGCCGTCGACGCCCGTGACGCTGCAGAACGTCAAAAAGGTGACCAAGTTCCGCGACGAGAAGGAGCTGGAGGATATGGTGCAGCGGTTCATGATCCTTAGCACCGAGGGCGAGGGCGCGGCGGGCGAGACGGCGCAGAGCGCGGAGTCGGCCAAGTTGGCGGAGAAGGAGGGTGCTGCGGCGGATGTTATGGCCGAGGGGATTGTGCCTGAGAGTGTGAGGTCGTCGGGGCAGCGGGCAAAGAGGTGAGCGGCGTTGGTTATGGGTAAGGGATGGCCTGTGATCATGGCATGAAGAAAGAAAGGAAAAGAAGCAGGGGCCTAGAGATGCGGCATATCATTCTTGAAGGATGGACGCATCATGTACAACTAACGTACTATATGTACATTTATATATCTACAAAAGCAAACGACAGCCCGTGTGCCTCAGGGTATTCAAGGCTGGGAGGTCGCCATCACGAACTGTCAGCCTCAGGTGCAACAAAGTCGATCTGCTCACTATCATGTTATGCTGGTCATTTCCACTCTATCCTCTGCGCCAAACACATGCAAGTTATTTACACGAAATCAAAGGTATCACCACGGTCCTGAATCATCTTTCCCACCCTCTTCGACCCAGCAATTCTCTCCAACTTCATCACATCGTACTTTGAGAAGATGGCCCGCACCGTTCCCTGCCCAGGCTCAATCTTCATGTCTCTCTCGCTCTTGGCCAGGTACCCACCTGCAACCTCCTTGTAGAAGATGGGGTTGTCCGGCAGCCCGTAAAAGATGACCCTGTGCACGCCACTGAACTGATACCGTCGGAAGTGGTGAGCTCTCTCTGTGTACAGCAAGATCTTGTGTCGGCCAGTCAGGAAGTGAGATCGCGCGCGAGATGCTTCTCGAATTTCGGTGTATTCGGATATGACTCCAAATGTGATGTTGCTCACTTCATCGGCAGTGGCGAAATAGTTCCTCACGCGGACGAAGTCGAGGTAAGAAGGGATGAAGATTAAAGTTCCGCTTGAGTCTTTGGATCGCTTCACCAGGGAGGGGATGATGGCAGACTTGAAGTAGTCAAACCTGGCCTCGGGATCCTTCTCCACAGAACTCGACTGGAACCGGGAAAATGTCTGCTTGACCTTGACGCCTAGCTGTCCGATCACGCCGGGGTATTCTGGCTGCAGCCGGATCCTGCCGGCCCAGTTATGGCAGTACAGCCTCTGGATTTCCGCCAACTCAGGGGTATTGAAGGACGATAAGATGACCGTCTGTCGGAAGTACTTGGCCCAGTCTTCCAGATACCAGTTGCGAACTCGGCTGAAGTCGCAGTCGTGGGCGTCTTTTGGTTGAAGGTTGAGGTGCTCGAAGATGTATTCGACGTGTTCCCAGTTCTGCATCAGGAGGGCATCCGCTTGGTCCACGATGACCATCTCAATGGAGCTGAGAAAATCAAAATCGGGCTTCTTCTTCTCTTCCTCGGATCCTATAGCCATGCGAAGACCCAGAGGACTGGCAAAGAGGATATCGGAAGTGTAAAACTGCGCAAAGTATTTGATCGTCTTGCGCGTAAACTTGACGCCGAGGCGGAACATGTCATCGTCGTTGCCCCCAAAGAGGTCTTTGAAGTCGGCAGGTCGATCCGCGCTGAATGCCTCGTCGCTCTCGACATAAGACTCGTTGAACCGCTTGAAGTTCTCCTGCTGGTCGGGTTCTACCAGATCTTGAATAACCTTCATCATCTTGGCGCAGGAGTTTCGAGTTGGTAAGAGGAAGAGGACCTTGGGCCTCGTGAAGCCCTGGTCCCGGAGCTCAAGTTCCGCATCGTCACCAGCCTTTGAAAGCTTGTAGCTGTTGTTGATCACCCTGTCTCGAGTCCTGAGGTAGAGTTAGCATCCATGTCTCTGAAGGTGAAGCTAGGTGGATCGATACTCACTTGAATACGTGATTGAGCGCATGCAGGCAAACGGCCTGTCGCATTTTATGGGAGTTGTCCACGGTCCGATCGCAAAACAGAATATCCTTGTAGTTGAACAACAAGGGCAAGAACGTCTTTTGTGCCGCATCAAGATCCCCCATCTTCTGCTTCGCCGGTTCGCGCAATTTCTGCTTCAGCTTCAACCCTCCGAGACCCGATATTGGCTGCGGCACTGAACCACTGCTATCGGTGGCGGGAGAAGTGATGACTGCTCTCCATGAGTGTATCATGGCTTTACTCGTAGTCCACACTCCATTCTTCGCCGCGACAACGGCTTGCGAGCTGACTTGTGGATCTGGATTGGCAAAGTGCGCATCAAACGGGTCCGTAGCGTCAATCTCGTCGTCTGAGTCGTTGCCCGGGTCCTCTTCAAGGTTCGCTGCGGCATCCTCTCCCTCCTCCTCCTCCTCATCAGCCTCGTCAATGTCTTCCCGCTTAGAATCGGATTCTTCCGCATCTTCTGGCTGCTGTACCGCGGGACTTGGACTTCGGTTGGAGGGTCCGTCGTGTGCAATCTTCCTTCTCTTGGCACTTGGTGCGCTTGTATCGTTGGCTTGGAACTTTTGCAACAGCGCCATGTATGGACGTGCTGGGGCTTCCTGTTCGTCGTCGTCGTCTGACGCTACGTTCTGGAGCATTTCGTCTTCCGCATCCGAGCCATCAGATCCAGATCCGTTCTCCCTATATAGCACACGAGTCGTCAGTCACAGGCGTAAGCAGACCAATAGAGGGCCTAGAATTATTGCCTACTCTTCTTCTTCACCGGCTTCAGCCAGGCGAGCATTGTCGAATCTCCTGTCCGGACCCCATCGACTAAACTGCTTGCCTCGACCTCTGCCGCCTCTGCTTCCGCCTCTGCTTCCACCTCTGTTTCCGCCTCTGCCTCTTGAGCCGCGGCCCCTGTGGCTTCCACCTCGTCTAGGTATCGGGCCTGCCATTGCGCTTGGTTTAATACGAGTGAAACTGGCTGCAAATAAAGTCAATTACGAGACCGGCAAGGAAACAAGCTTCCACGCCCAGACAAGCCGGGAAAAAAGTTCGAATAGAAGTGTCAGCCTTGCATGAATATATGGGTCCATCTCACCAGCCACACCATGGTGGGGTGAGCTACGTGCTTGCGCCACGCAGCCTCGTCGCAAGTGCTGCTTGCACCCATTTTAGTGCGCACAACCCCAGCGGCCGCCCGCCAAAGTCTGCAAATCACAAAATCGGCGAAATTGGAGACCATCGCGAAGAAAAAAAGCGTGAGCCGAACCATTTTTCGAGAGCAGCCGGCGCCACTCGTTTTTTTCTCTCTCCCCTTCCCACCCCCCACTTCTTCGACCTTGTCATAACGCATCGCAAGGGAGAAAAGCTCGACAATCCTCCTCGTTGTCGATTCTCCTCTCGCCCAGCATGGCTGCCGCTACCGAACGGTTTTTACACCTCGCTCGCCCGCTGGCTCACACGAATATCGGGCTCCAGACGAACATTGCCCCGCTCACTGTCCAGATCCAGCCTCAGGTATAGACCACCTTGTCACGCACGATATGGCCCCCTTCAGCTGCCCCCGATATAGAGATGAGGAGGGATGCAGGGAGAAATCTCAGACAGAGAAGAGGGGAAACGAAGCAGAGTTCGTTGGGCTGATGCGTCACTAGGCTGTCCTCTCCATCCTCGATCATGCCGTTCGACGAGATGTCCGTGAGAACTCCCAGTCCACCCGGGTCATCGGCGCCCTGGTAGGCACCCGCTCCGAAGATGGCACAGAGGTCGAGGTCCGCCAGTGCTTCGCCATCCCCCACACCGAGGAGGAGGACCAGGTCGAGGTCGACGTCGAATACCAGAAGAACATGCTCGCCCTGGTCCTCAAGGCCTCCCCCCGCGAGTCCCTGCTCGGCTGGTACACCACCTCCCACGAGCTCAACAGCTTCAGCGCCTTGATCCAGAACTTCTTCGCCGCTCCGGACACCGGCACCTTCCCTCACCCCGCCATCCACCTCACCATCTCCACAGAGCCCGGCAAGGATATTGAGACGAGATGCTACATCAGCGCCCCTGTGGCCGTCAATGCCGAGCGAGCCGCCGAGAGCTGCCTTTTCATCCAGGTCCCCCATAAGATGCTGTACGGAGATGCCGAGAAGAGTGCCCTCGAGGCCGTCGCCAGCGCCCGCGACGTCGAGTCACGGACTGCGCCCTTGGTATCGGACATTGAGAGCCTGGGCCGATCCATCGAGCAGACCATTGGCCTTCTGGACCGTGTCAGCGAGTGGGTCAACGGCGTACTGGACGAGGACGTCGAGCCCAACAATGCCCTGGCGCAGTATCTCATGAGCGCCCTATCTCTGGCGCCCAAGGTCGACGCTTCTCAGATCGAGCACGACTTCAACAACCACATCCAGGACGTTCTCATGGTCAGCTACCTGGCCAACACCATCCGAACGCAGATCGACCTCTCTCAGCGACTGGCTGTAGCCAACCTGGTCAGCGGCGAGAAGGAGGAGGGCAAGAATGACGGCGAAAAGGGCGGCCGAGGCGGCGGCAAGCGTGGCGGACGCGGCGGCGGCAGGGGTGGTGGTCAACAAAGAGAGCCTCGAGAGCCTCGCGAGCCTCGAGAGCCCACCGAGTAAACCAAGAAGAATTGCATCGGAAAGGGTAATTAGCAGCTACAACGATCGTCTTTGGGCTTAATTTGTTTTTTTCCCTTTCCATCCCGGCAACTAAGCCCCCCCAAAGCAGAAAAGACCCTACAAGAGGAAGGGAAAAGAGGAATTTTGGAAGTGGAAAACAAAAAAAGGAACGCGCCTGAGGCGTCTTTGGATGAACGGGGTGGGAGAGGGAGAGGGACTGGGCATGTATCGTGTCGGTGTTCCAGCAATACACAGACGCACGAGCACAGTATCATCACGGCGTTGTGGTATGCCAAACATGATTTTGGCACTTGAGATATTAGATATGAACTTTGATTCGTCACGCAGCTTCTTTCTGATTTGGCCTTATAATTGCTCCTCGGGCGTGATTTAAGGCAACGACGGAGAGCAAGATTATTGCTCGGGCGAGCTCACACACCAAAGGAACGGCGTATACCAGAGCAACGCATTCTCACTTCAATGAGCAATTCGTGCTGGACTTTACCTTGTCCAATTTTCCCTGTATATCACCCTTACTTGCCACAACAGACAGGCCCTCCGAGTACCAGGTCGATTAGCCCCCTTATGCCAAGCAATATTCTCCATAGTATCGCTATTAATGGTATGCCCCAACTCCATGCGCCCGTAGGAAAAGCAAACAATTCGATGCAATGTACATTTCCATTAGCCTCCTCTTCCCTTTGCCGTTTCTCCCTCCTCCAGCCCACCACCTCATGCGAAGGACACCCTCTTCTTGGACGCCTTGGTGGCTTTCGAGCCCGTCTGCGATATGCTCTTCAGGTTGTCGCCACCATCGCTGTCGTTCCTTCTCTTGCGCTTCTTCCGCAGAGACTCCTTGGTGTCCTCGAGCTTTGCCTTCTTTTCGGCCGACTTCTTCTCGGCTTCGATTCTTCTGGCTTCACGAATTTCCTCCATTTGCCGGGCCTTGATCATCTTCGATTCGATGTGGCCTTCCTTTTCAGCTTGAACGAGGGACAAAATCGTCGTCATGCTCTCCTGAACAATCACCATTCACATTAGCAATCAATTCTTCACCCCCCTTCACAAGAACGCCCAGAGGCGAGGCGACTTACCTTGTCGTCCACAAACACCTTGCCCTTCTTCTTGCCCTTGGGCTTCTCGACGCCCACGGGCGTAATCATGTTGAGCGTCGGGATCCCCAGCTCTTCCGCCGTGTACGTCTTCTTCTTGGGCCTCTTCATCAGCAGCGCGCGGTTCTTCTCCTTGACCTGCTGCGACACGACGGGGCCCTTTGGCTTGTTGGACTTGGACTTGGACTTGGAGACGCCATCGGTGGAGGAGCGCTTGGGGCCGCCTTTTCCGGAGGCGCCGCCTGTGCTGCCGCTCTTGGAGCCTGCGTGCTTGTTCTTGATTGTCCGTGTCTTGTTGGGAGCCATTGTGGGAGCTTTTCAATGTTGTTGTTTTGCGAAGTTGGGGAATTCGCTGGTTTGATTGATTAGCTGAGGGACTCGAGCCGAATGTTAGCTGTTGCGCAGCAGAAATTTTTGGGCTTATCGGTTGTTATCGGTCGCATTGAGGGGCGATAAGGAAAATACTAGTTAGATAAGCATCTGGTAGCACAGCTCGGAAAAGGAACGACGACTCTTTGTTAGTGGGGGTTTTTCTTTGGTGGTATTGGATGAAAGTCGTGCGTCTTCTAGAATCCAAAGCCGCGGTATTGGATGAAAATGATTGGCTTGGTGTTCGACACTGCATTGAAAGTCTGGTGTAACGCGAGCTGTCACTGGGGGGGTTGGGTCTTGCTCTTTGTTTTGTTTGGGACTGTTTACGGTGGCGACGCCCGTGTTAGTCCATAGTGGAAGGCCTGGACTTGGATTGGGCGTATGAAGAGCATCAAGTCTTGCCTGGCATGAGAGATGCATCAGTTGCTAACGACTGCATGATGAGGCTCTCTTGCGTTCTTTACTAATCACCTGGATGTGACGGCAGCTCTGGGCTGGATCGTTGCCAAGGAGCGACACTCGCGTGCTTCCAGTGTAATACAACAGGGCAATGGAACGGGTCGAGGGAACATGTTGGATAGAGCGACCAACGCTGTATGCGAGACATGATCTGCGTGTATGCACTCGTACCACAGACACTTCAAACCCAGGCCAGACCGTCACCCAATCGACAGCCAGGAAGGCTGCTGCAGTAGTCAACAAAAATCCCGGCAGACGAGGTATGGAGGCTGAGACATTGATGCTGCACTTATACCACCTTACTATGCCTCGAACTCCCTAGCCTGCGGGATCTACGCATTGTTATGTAGCATCTCCACGGAAGTCAAAGCCAACATTGGCCAAGACATGCTCCCGAATATTCCCAACAGCCCGGACCTGAATGCCTCGGCGAGGCCCTATCAGGCCCAATGGGCAGCCATCGGATGAGTGCTCCTCACTCTGAGGTTCAACTCTATAACCGTCAGACCAACGAACGGGAAGGGCCTCCGAAGATACGTGTACCTCGGATATGACAGGATTAGTATACAGATTCAAACAATCTTCAAACACGCGTACTCGGTTTCCCTGACGCCCTTGGCTATACGCGGGTGTGTCAGTGTAGATATATGGATGGATCAGTGCTCTCTTACTATTCCGCTCTCGTATCAGCAGAGCTTGAAGTTGAATTCATGTTGCGTTTGACCCATACATATCCATGTCATAACACTCAACTGCCCGCACGCCTTCTGACAGAAAATTCTACAGGCGTCTGACGCGCTGTCGGTTCCGGCTGCAGAGGCCTGAAGGTGGATATTCAGGCGGCCTTCCAGAATGGCCGGCCTCCCCCAAATGCCTCCCCCAAGAGCCCCAGGGAGGGCTTCGATCAGACGCCGCTAACCGTAACCCGTAACCGCTCGTTTGGTACGGCCGGCAATGTACCTGCTAGCAAGTCGTAAATTTCACCAACTGGTGTCGATGTCACGCAGAATTCTTCCACCTCAAGCACCCCAACCGTCCACAACGTCAACTTCATAATTCGCCCCGACCGCCGACCACCAGCTTCTTCGACACATCGCGCACCATCCGCCCTCACCTGCCAGCTACCTGCATTCCGTACTCTTTCTGTCTCGAGTCGAATATCATCGCCGTCCCGCGACCGCCGCTTCGAAACCCCTCCATCGCCGTTTCTCATCGCCATCTTTTTCCTTGGGCCCTCTCCTCCTCTCGCTCCCTCCCGCCTCGCACACTTACAATTTTTCCCTTCCTCTCTTGTCTCCTCCCCACGTTCCGAGAAGCGCGCATCGAACAGAATAGCATCCTCACCAACGACGCCGACGCATTCAGCAAACACACGCCCTCCGATCTCCGTCCGACCCTCGAAAATCCTTTCCCGAGCGAGGCGTCCCTCTACTCCCCGCATCCCAAGCACCGAGCAACCACCAAGACGCAACCCCCGAAACAAGGCTTAATGGAGAATCTATGGACTCGCCGAACCAAGTATGACTTGCTCCCATGCGTCGCCTCTATAGCGCAACCTCGTGTGACTGACTTTCCGTTGCCTAGCTCGTCGAAGCTCTCCCTCACTACGCCTTCCAATGGGGCAAGCGGCTTGGGGGGAGGTGATCCCGGCTCCCGCAGTGCCACGGTCAAGTCGTCGCATGGCAAATCGAATCCCTTCAACAGCACCCCCGGGAGCGCGCTGATGTCTCCGACGGGGGGAGCGTCTAGCGCCTTTGGTCTGGGGTCGGGGGCTTTCGCATCCTTTGGCTCGTTTGGGTCTGCCAAAACACCAAAGTCGGGCGGGAACCCCTTTGAGACCGCCATGGGCTCCGCCGTCGCCAAGCAGACCGCTTCCAAGGACGCGGCGAAGCCCGTAGCCAGACCGCCCAACATGGCGCCCATTTCCGAGTCCAAGGCCACGGGGCCGCCGCCCGGAGCCGCCCAGAGACACCTGCTGAAAGACGCATGGTCGTTCTGGTACAGACCCCCGATCTCGAAGGCGCACGGCTTCATCGAATACGAGAATACACTGCACGGCATCGCTACGGTGCGGTCGGCGGAGGAGTTTTGGCAGGTCTATTCCCACCTCAAGCGGCCGTCAAGCCTGCCCGTCGTGTCCGACTACCACCTGTTCAAGAAGGACATTCGGCCAATATGGGAGGATGAGGTCAATCGGAAGGGGGGCAAGTGGGTTGTTCGCCTCAAGAAGGGCGTAGCGGATCGGTACTGGGAGGACCTGCTGCTTTCTCTGATTGGCGATCAGTTCGGCGATGCCGGAGAGGACGTGTGTGGTGCCGTCCTGAGCATGCGCAACGGCGAGGATATCTTGAGCATCTGGACCCGAACTGACGGCGGTCGCGTGCTCAAGATTCGGTATGTCTTAGCCTCAATCCTGAATCACTGCTTTGACCTATCTAGCCGACTAACTTGTCGTTTGCCACCTTAGCGAAATTATGAAGCAGGTCCTCAACTTCCCGGCCAACACCCGCCTCGAGTTCAAGTCGCACGATTCCAGCATCCAGCAACGAACCGCAATCGACGAACAACGCCGTGAAAAGGCCAGTCAACACCACAACGAGAAGCGTCACACAACCAATGTTTCGAAGCAGCAGAACTACGAATAATCAAGGGGGACAAAGTTGGAATCATCAAGGTCCGCACAAGCCTTGTCCTCTTACCGCCATAATGTGCCCCTGTTTCGTCCTCGTTTATCAGCTATGATGGAAGTTTTTCCTCCCATTTCCCCCTTGTACACTACCGGGCAAGAGCGCTTGGGTATGTTTGCAGAACCCGTGGTTTTGTCCTTTCAGTTTTCGTCCTCAAGTTTTTTGGAGTTTCTGTCTTTTTATCTGATGTTCCGTAAGTTCCTCTGGTTCTTCCAGTCTATTTCTTTGGTTGGACGGTTGCGGACTAGGTAGTTTCTCGTTGCGGACGAGTGCCTGGACGCGGATGTTGGGGAAAAAATTCTTACTTGGGATGTACAACTGGGAGACAAACTGATCTATTATTATTTTTCCCCTCTTTTTCTTTTGCTCGACCTGGAATATGGTGGGCGGAAAGGGGGAGGGGACGGGTTTCGCGATTTCATTGTTACTTCATGTTACGTGGATAATGTATTATAGCTTGATGGTTTGTTAACGGCAAAGGCACATTCTGGCGGCGGAAGGGGTGCCTAACGAAACAGAAAAAAAATAATAAAAAGCACAAAAAAAATAGAGACAAGAAGGGCAATAAAATGAGGATGGCTGCTCTTGCGCCTGGCTTATGTTGAGCCCGCGAGTATGTCATTTCCTGTTGAAATCAACCGCTCTCGCGCCTTGGGGGCTACTCCCTCTCTCTCTCTCCGAGTTTGATATACGACGCCCAGCATTCTATGGGCGGGATTATATGGTGTGGTGTTATACATTGTACATATTCTATCCCTTGTCTAACCTATGCTGCCCCCTTTCCCTTGCCAGCTTTGCTGCTGCCGGGCACTCTTCTCCTCTCCCAGATCTGCAGATACGTCTCGCCGAGGTAGAGCAGCTCGCTCTGCACCTTGTCGACAAACAGGTCCTGGCAGACGACCCACTCGTCGGTGGCCTTGTTCTTGAGCTGGACCTTCCACGTCTTCTTCTCCTCGCCGCTGTCCGCGACGTCGTCCCTCTTGCGGACCGCCTCGTGGGGAGCCGCGGGGAGAAGGTCCTGCTCGACCTCTCCTTGTAGTAGGGCGTCCACGGGGACTCGTGGTAGGAGTCGTTCATGCTGCCGTTCGCGCGCGTCCTCGTGGTGCGCGTCGCGTTCGCGATGGCGGACGACGTGGGCGACGGCGGGAAGGAGTACGAGGTACAGTTCGCGAAGAGCGTCTTGTTCAAGCAGCGGCTCGCGTTGGGCTGGTAACAGTGGAAACTGCGGTCCTTGGAGCTGCAGAGCGGGATGCAGCTCGGGTTGGGGTCGCTCACCGGGCAGCCGCTCGGCTATACCATGCTGGAGCAGCGGTTGCAGCA